TCCCAAAATTCACGCAAGAAGTAATTTTGATAGAAAACACAGGTTTGTAATTAAAAATTGTAAATTTTTTATTGATTCATAAAGTATACAGTTATGTATGGAATAGCATATTGGGTAAATGGCCTCCACAGCTTTGCTGGCACATACACACTCTTTTGTTATTGCCTGAGCAGCCGCATTTTCGAAGAAGAATGGTCCGATGATGCCTCCAGCCCAAAATCCACACCAAACAGTGACACGTTGTGGATGCATTTGTTTCTCAACAATCACTCGTGGATTTTCTGAACCCCAAATGTGCCAATTTTGTCGATTAACCAAGCCATCAAGATGAAAATGAGCCTCATCAAAATTCAGCCACATTTATGCAAAACGGTCACGGAAAATTTCAGCGAAAGAATACATATATGCCAGCAATGTTTCTAACTCTCTATCCCTCTCCCTTCCTCTCTGTAAAAAATCAATAAAATATATATTTTTTAAATTTACAATTTTTAATTATAAACCTGTGTTTTCTATCAAAATTACTTCTTGAGTGAATTTTGGGACACCCTTTATCTCTGCTCCCTTCCTCTCTGAAATCAATAAAAATATATATTTTTTTAAAAATACAAACAAAAACACACACACAGCCAGTATATATTGATTACTCACTCTACCAGGCACTGTGCTAAGTATGTGGATCCTCCCAAACCCCCAATGAGTGGGGGGGTTTGTCATAACCAGTTTATAGATGAGGACACCGATGCTCAGAGAAGAGATGTCTTGCCCAAGGCTGCAAGCAGTGATGCCGAAACCCAAAGCCGGGGTCTGAAGCCGGACTGGCCCCTGGGGGGCAGTGCTTATGGCGACGTCGGGCAGGATGATCTGGGCTCTGCCATGTCATCGAGCACAGAGGGGACATCACAGCTACAACCCTCTGGGCTCAACCCAAGCCCACTCCTCGCAAGCTCTGTGACCTTGAGCCCGTTACTGGGCCTCTTTGTGCCTCAGCGTCCCCCTCTCCAAAATGAGGAGAATAGTAAAGATCCAGTTAGCGCCTATGAGGGTGCAGCCCGCCCCAGGCGTTATCAATGAAGGGGGGCACTGTCTTTTGAAAATTCAAAAAGGAGAACAAACCCTATTTTATTAGTTGCTTTTCTATTATCGCTGTGTATAAGGCAATTCTGAACCATGTCAGTGATAAAATACTCTCCCCCTAAGAAATCTGTTATTGGTCTAAACCAGAGGTCAACAAACTTTTTCTGTCAAGAGCCAGAGAGTAAATATTCTCAGCTGTGCGGCCGGACGGCGACCCCGACCCCGCAGCTGGCAGTCACAGTGTGAGAGCGGCCGCAGACAATCCGTGAACGCGGGAGTGTGGTTGTGTGCCAGTCACCTTGAGATGTGGATGCTGAAATTCAAATCTTCTTTGTACATGTTGTGAAATATTATTCTCCTTTTGATTTTTTCCCCCCAACCAGTTAAAAAAACACACAACATCCTTAGTTCCTACAAAAATAGACATTGGGCTGGGTTTGGCCAGCAAGCCCTGGTTTGTCAACTCCTGGTCTACATCAGCAATTTTCAATCTTTTTCATCTCATGGCACACATAAACTAATTACTAAAATTCTGCAGCACGCCATAAATATATTTTTGCTGATCTGACAAAAAAAATAAGTATCTACACTAATAAAAGAGAAACATGGTAATTAGCGTACGATCGCTACCCTTCCCATCGGCTAATCAGCATATCCTTATGCAAATTAACTGTCAGCCAAGATGGCAGCCGGCAGCCAGGCAGCTGGAAGCGAACATGAGGCTTGCTTGCTCCAGTGACTGCAGACTCCAACGTTCCCCACCTGACTTGCCAGCCTCTGAGCTGCAACTCTAAGAAACTTTGTAACAAATATAGAAGCTAAACAAAACCCCAGAAACCAGCTTTCAGCCGGCCGGGATCTCAGAGCTGGAGTTATACATTGTTTCGATTATAGAACGCAATCAGCAGCGGAAGCCTCAGAGCTAGAGCCAGAGCTAAAGCTGGCCCAGAATAAAAAAAAAAAAGAAGAAAAAGAAAAAAAGGAGCGGTTGGGAGCTTCAGTCAACAACCGCCAGCCTGAAAGCAGCCCTCAGCCCCTCACCCAGACTGGCCAGGCACCCCAGTGGGGACCCCCACCCTGAAGGGTGTGTGACCAGCTGCAAACAGCCATCATCCCCTCATCCAGGCTGGCCAGGCACTCCAGTGGGGACCTCCACCCTGATCCAGGACACCCTTCAGGGCAAACCAGCCGGCCCCCAGGCCTCTATCCTATATAGTAAAAGGGTAATATGCCTCCCAGCACCGGGATCAGCGGAGCCACGAGGCCTCCTGGCACCGGATCAGCGTGACAGGGGGCAGCGCCTAAACCCCCTGATCGCCCTGTGGCTCTGTGTGTGACAGGGTGCGGTGCCCCAACCCCGCCCCCACCACCACAGGCCCTGCTCTGTGTGTGACAGGGTAGAGCCATAACCTCCCCATCTACCCTGCCCTGAGTGTGACAGTGGCGGCGCCCCAACCCCTGATCGGCCCTGCTCTGTGGGTGATAGAGGGCGTGCCCTAAACTCCCCTATCAGCCCTACTCTGTGCGTGACAGGGGTCAGTGCCCCAACCCCCTGATTGGCCCTACTCTGTGCGTGACAGGGGGTGGCGCCGAAACCTCCCCATCGACCCTGCCTTGAGTGTGACAGGGGGCAGTGCCCCAACCCCCCAATAGGCCCTACCCTGAGCGTGACTGAGGGTGGCATCCCAACCTCCCGATCCGCCCTGCTCT